ATGACTAGATTTTGTATTTAATTTTGTATATTGAAGGGGACATGTTAGCAATTTGAAAGAAGAAATATAAAATATGATAAAAATACATTTTTGTGTTTATTTGATTCCTATTCGAGACACTTAAGAATAAAATAAGAATAACTATAGTGTTACAATAGGCGGCTACAGATGTGTTTAACATTTTTGGTTGGTGGTGTGCCTCGTGATTTTTTCAATGAAAAAATGTACCTTGGCTCAAAAAAGGTTGAAAAACACTGATCTAAGGGACCTAGCGGGACAGTAGTTTTGTAGTAGCTCAGAGAGGTATGGTGGAGCTAGGCCATTTATTGTCTTATAAGCAAATAAAAGGATTTTGAAATGAATTCTAAAATGGACAGGGAGCCAATGAACCAGGCTATTAAGTGACCAATGTCACAAAGACACCGCTTTAACAGACTGATTAGATCATTAATGTTACTTTTTTTTAAAAGACTTTACTGGTAACTTTATTGCTTAGACTCAATAAAGCCGTACACGACAGCCCCGGTAATAAACTCTGTGATATTCTACCGTTATTGTGGAGACCGTTACGGACAGGAAACAAGTCGTTAAAGCAAAAACCCAATACTGGGGATATAAAACCCACCAAACCTCAACTCTTTTCACCTCAACTTTATTTATAAAGCGCTTTCAGTCAGCCAAAGCTAAAATCAAAGCGCTGTACAGGCCATTTGAGCAGATCCTAAAACACAATTATCACCACAACACAAGACAAACTCAAAGATTAAAAACAGTAAGAGCAAAAAAAATGAAAAACAAAACCAAGTAAGAGAGGGAAATTAAGACAACTAAGATAAAGTCGAAGTCTCACTCAAAGGCCTGAGAGAAAAAGTGGGTCTTTAAAAGGGTTTTAAAAGAGCTGAGTGTAGGGGCCTGTCTGATAAAAAGAGAAAACTTGTTCCCCTCTGAGTTTCCGCTTTTCAAATCATCCTATTTCACCTAATTGGTCTAAAAAGATTGTTTGATATGGAATTAATAATCTGCAAATAATATGCCATTTCTGAGTGTGTGTGCTTAACTAGTGACTGGTGGAGTAATCATGTAATAATTCCTAATGACTAGATTTTGTATATAATTTTGTATATTGAAGTGGACATGTTAAGAGCAATTTGAAAGAAGAAATATAAAATATGATAAAAATACATTTTTGTGTTTATTTGATTCCTATTCGAGACACTTAAGAATAAGATAAGAACAACTATAGTGTTACTATAGGCGGATACAGATTTGTTTAACATTTTTGGTTGGTGGTGTGCCTCGTGATTTTTTCAATGAAAAAATGTATCTTGGCTCAAAAAAGGTTGAAAAACACTGATCTAAGGGACCTAGCGGGACAGTAATTTTGTATTAGCTCAGAGAGGTATGGTGGAGCTAGGCCATTTATTGTCTTATAAGCAAATAAAAGGATTTTGAAATGAATTCTAAAATGGACAGGGAGCCAATGAACCAGGCTGTTAAGTGACCAATGTCACAAAGACGCCGCTTTAACAGACTGATTAGATCATTAATGTTACATTTTTTAAAGGACTTTACTGGTAACTTTATTGCTTAGACTCAATAAAGCCGTACATGACAGCCCCGGTAATAAACTCTGTGATATTCTACCGTTATTGTGGAGACCGTTACGGACAGGAAACGAGTCGTTAAAGCACAAACCCAATACTGGGGATATAAAACCCACTAGGGGTGGGACGGTTCACAAAATCCACGGTTCGGTTCGATTCATGGTTTCGTGGTCACGGTTTTGGGTTCAATTCGGTATGTGTTGATTGTTAGGAAAATCTATTATGTCTTGTATAGTCCGGTTAAAACTGAAAGAAAAAAGCAGTCTGACATTTGATCCATTATTGTGACAGTCTGAGGTTAAAAGTAGGTGAGATTCTGCCAGAGAGGAAACAGTGCTAATTCCAACATGTGCTTCCCTCTAAATGCAAACTGGTCCATACAGCAGACCTAGAAACTGCTGTTGGGTCTGATTTTTATCGGCTACGCTGCTTCTTCTTCTTCTTGTTTCCTACTGGTGGTTGGCTTTGGGCGCAGTAGCGCCCCCTTCTGCTCTGGAGTGTAAACGCTTCCCTCTGAGAAAAAGGAGCAGCAGGAACCGAACAAACACACGCCAACCCAACCCAGACAGAACCCAACGGTTCAGACGGTGTTCAGAAACCGTCCCATCCCTAAAACCCACCAAACCCAGCCAAAGAAAGAATAAAAGAGAGAGTCGGGTCCTGAGCGGAGCGGGACTCACCGTTGAGGAACAGCTCCTCCTGCATGGCGCGGCGGGCGGGGCGGGAGAAGCAGCGTTTCTTCAGCCACTCGGCCTCAAAAACGCTCACGTGCTGGTCCGGCCACACCACCGAAACCTGGGGGGAAAAGGGCTGTCAGAAAATATATTTACTAGGGCTGTCACGGTACTAAAATGTTCAACTCCATACCGATACTCTACTCCAGTGATTCTCAAATGGGGGTACGCGTACCCCTGGGGGTACGTGGAGGTACTGCAGGGGGTACGTGAAGCTTTTCAAAATATATTTTAAAAATCAGTAGGCTCCTCATAATAAGTCTTGGGAGAAATTATTCTGTAAAAAAAAAGTTCGATAGAATATAAATGTGTGTTCATGCACTGCATTTTATATTCAGTATTTAGTTTCAATATCCTTTAAAATAAAACGGACCCCCCACCAAGTTAGTTTGACCCACGGACCCAGCGCTCTTGTCAACGACCTGTCGTTACCATGGTTACGTTTGGCTTTAATAAATAAGACAGTGATTTTACAGCACTGTACCTCTTTTTTCTTCCAAATTTTTTTTGCCTGTGTCAGGGGGTACTTGACTAAAAATATATTTTCAAGGGGGTACATCACTGAAAAAAGTTTGAGAACCACTGCTCTACTCAATCGATACTCTACGTAGACATGAATTACCAGTAAAATCGTCTACTAAATGTATAAACAAAATTTTTTATTGGTAAATACTAGGGTTGTCACAGTACTAAAATGTTCAACTCCATACCGATACTCAGGAAAATACTGAGATTGTAGATTAGAATAAATTTGAGTCCATGCGGTTAATATTTTATCCTCTCATTTGACACAGTGATTTTATTACCCGTAGACCCAGTGCCGGTTCATAAGGGTCTTTTTTTAAATGAGCGGTTCAACGATTTGAAGCTTAAAAAACTAACTATAAAGAAAGTACATGAGTTGAAAGGAAACAAAGAAAAGCCTATTCAAACGGTCTCAGCCAAAGTTAAAGGGATGGTTGTTTAAGACATTGCGGTATTGTAGATTATAATAAATTTAGGTCCATGCGGTTAATATTTTATTCTCTCATTTGACACAGTGATTTTTTTAGATTCACTTTAACTTTATGTGTTCTACGTAGACATGAATTACCAGTAAAATCGTTTACTAAATGTATAAACAAAAATTTTTATTGGTTAATATAGCAATATGGATATTACTCATTACTAGGGTTGTCACGGTAATAAAATGTTCAACTCGATCCCGATACTCAGGAAAACACTGAGATTGTAGATTAGAATGAATTTGAGTCCATGCGGTTAGTATTTTATTCTCTCATTTGACACAGTGATTTTTTTAGATTCACTTTAACTTTATGTGTTCTACGTAGACATGAATTACCAGTAAAATCGTTTACTAAATGTATAAACAACATTTTTTATTGGTAAATATAGCAATATGGATATTACTCCTTACTAGGGTTATCACCATACTAAAATGTTCAACTGGATACCGATACTCAGGGAAATACTGAGATTGTAGATTAGAATCAATTTGAGTCCATGCGGTTAATATTTTGTCCTCTCATTTGACACAGTGATTTTATTACCCGTGGACCCAGCACCGGTTCATAAGGGTCTTTTTTAAATGAGCGGTTCAACGATTTGAAGCTTAAAAAACTAACTA